AGAGAGATAGACAGAGAGATAGACACAGGACGAGAGAGATAGAGCGTATAGGGCCTTAAGCAGAGAAGGCTCCTTGTGCTGTATAGAAATTTAAAGACAACCGAGTTCTTATTGAAGAAACAAGTTCTTTATCACGTCCCAGTTTGGAATCTAACCGTCGTGAATCCATAGTGTTTCAAGAGGTTCATGATTTCAGTTGTAAGCTCTTTATTATATCCAAATATATATTTACGAGACCACTGCAGCGAAGGAATCACCGCATGGGAGAGCAGGAAAGTTCTTTATGAATGAATCGATGTCAGGAGCACCCTTCCGCGTTTGGATTTACATACCCTTAAATCATTCTCCTCAATATATTTGCTATTTTCGTCTTCAAAGTTGAAAATTCTGTGTCAAGAAAGGTATTCCTAAACACTAAATTGTTGGTTACCAAGCTCTGGGTGCAACTTTAGATTTTCCATCTCTTTCTGCTCTATTTACAAATAGGCGTTAGTTGGCTTTCGAAAGGAGGAACCCTTGTATTTGCTTAAGAAGAAGAATACTTCAATCTGGACTGAGGAATGACTGGGAAGCTCTAAAAGCATATGAAGACTAAAGGTGCTTCGTTTATTGTGAAAATGTTAACTATACACTGTCCTCTGTAGTAGGGCTACTGCGAGATAGTTGGTTGTACAGCAACAAAGTTTAAGCAAACAGGAATTTAGAGAAAAGCATGGCTTCAGGGAGCAAAACGACATAGAATATTTTCATATTTCCACATACTCCTATTTACATATGCATAGATATACCTTTTTGTGTTTTTTTAGAAATATACATATATAAAAGTATATATGTATGTGTATTTCGTATATAAATTTACGAAGTCATGCTGCGCGTTGTGGCGCGGCGCTTTTGCCAGTTAGTAAGCATTCAATTTTTACTTATTTTCTTCACGCACACACACACACACACACTCACTCGTACGCGCCTGGTCCGGCCAGATCCATTCCGGTTCGGCCTATTGGTGTTGGCTCTTTTAATGTCTGGCTCTTCACACTCGTTGGTATCAAAACAGGCGCGGTTTTTGATTGTTTGCTTGTTACGCATACTTGTTTTGTTGTTGTTGCTGTTGTTATTGTTGGCTATTGCTTTTGTTATAATCGTTGTTGTTGGTATTATTGTTATTATCATTGGCCATATTCTGGCTACATACATATGTACATATGTACCTATGCACATATATACGAGCATATTCGACAGCTTAAGCACTTTTCGAAAATTAATTGTTAACGCGTTTTGGTTGGTTAGGCTGCCGGACCATTGGTCGTCATTGGATTGTGTTTGTGTGTGAGTGTGTTTGTGTGTATGTGTGTAAAAGGGGTTGAGTGTGCGTGTGCATATGGCTCTTTGACAGTTAGCAGGGCTGACGCTTTCCAACTTTCTAGTAAACTTAAGGCAATTTTAGCTAACTACATACATATATAGCTTATATATATATATATATACATATATATATATATATATATATATATATATATATATGTAAGTATGTATGTGTTAACCTTTTCTCAATTCACTGCGTTGGCCAATTTGTCGTGTGTAGTTTTATGAATACATTTGGTTTTAGCTGACATGAAACCAGTATTTTCAATCAACCTTTTCCGGGTCAACCTACGGTGTTGCAGTGACAATAAACAGGCGCCCCAGCGTTTTTGACACTCGTTTGTTGTTTGTTTGTTTGTATTTATATGTATTTGAAAAAGAAAATTTTCTCGATTTCTCTGCCAGTGATAGCTTTTTAAATATGCATTTATGCACATGTAAATATGTACGTGTGCATTTATGTGATTGGATGCAGTTAAAAAAGCCGAATCACCTATTTGACAGTTTTAAATAATAAAAAAATTTAAAGTCGTTGACACTTACTGTTTTAGAAAATCGTATAGCAAAAGCAACAACAACACAAACTGGGCGCTTTATAACCGCTAAAGCGATTTTCGAGCGAAAAGCAACATTGAAATGAGAAATGAATGCTCCCTGCAGCCGTGCCCGTTACGAGTGGAATATGCCTAGATGAAGAGTTTCAATGAGGAATCACAACTCGCTTTATTGACGTTCGCCTTCTAAATGGATGGACAATTTTTGATGTAACTTTATATGTGTGTTCAAATGGATTTGAGCACAGTTTTGAATAATTTTTGTTTTCTGGAAAGTGAAGCAGAGGCTGACCAACTCGTATATGCTGCTTTAAAATGCTTAAACTACTTAAAAAAATTTATGTGCGTGTTGAAGTACTTAAATTAACATATGAATGGAACTTTTGCTTACAGGAAGTGGTTAAAAATTATTCTAAAAAAAACTGTAGATATGATTGGATTTACTTCCTTCTTTCTAGGTCCTCCAGAACCGGTATGCTTTAAGCTTAATTGGAGCTGTTGGACATTATTTATGTATCTCCTTCTATAAAATTCCAATTTTAACTGAACAAAGTACAAAATAAGATGTGACCAGATCTTCTTGTTCAGAATTTTAATGCTTATAACCTTTAAATTTGTAAGTTCTCACATGAATAATTTTTGAAAAATCTTTTGAAAATCATTTGTATGATTGGCATATGTTGTAGCCAACCATAATATTTTTATATTTTAAAATATTTCGTATATTCAGTGTTTTGACTCAAAAACACTTCTTTGAAAAAGCAGTTGTATGAAAGCTGTATGTGTAGTCTTAGCTTATAGTCAGTTGATTTTGTTGAATTTTCCACAAATATTTTAGTCATATTATTGCTTATAAAAAATTGTGAAGTTTTAGCTACTAGCTTTAAAAGTTTTGAACTAAAAACATGTTTTTGAACAATTCATTATATGAGCGCTATTTTCTGCCATAAATGTTGTACTTATGATGTCTTAGCAGACGAAAAAAAAATTCGAGACTTGAACTACTAAAATTTACGAGTAATGATCCAAAAACGCATTATTATTATAATTGGCGCTTTGTAACCGCTGAAGCGATTTTCCGCCGAGCTCCTCTTTCAATCTTCCAATTTGTGGTTTTGCGTCTTGTTGTTGTAGATACCTCCAAGTTTATACTAAGGCGCGTCCGAACGGTTGATGGTCTTTTTATGAGGAGGAGGGATTGGCCTTCCCTGAAAATTTCGCACCGAATTTGAACCCGAATCGTCCGAAGAGCAGTACGCAATGCTAACCACTCGGCTATCGCGGCCGCCATTTGTATCAGTGCTATTATTAGATTTCTCCGAATTTAGTAATTTTTACCGTAAACATTTTGCACCTGACATCATAACAAAATTTAACATTTGTAACTACTAAAGTATGAGAGTTTTATAGCAAAAATATATTTTTGAACAAATTTTTGCATGGAAGATATATGGTTTAGTCGCATGATTACAATTATTTTTACCATAATATTGTAACTCTAATATCATTGCCGAAAAGTAATTTTTAGATTTTTATATAATATTTAAAGATGAGAAAATTTTGAAGCAACCCCCTTTTTTGAAGTTGTAGGCCAGATATGCGTTGTAATTGTTTACTCAATTTGGCCATTAGAATATTAAAGAGTTTTAAATTTCATTATTTTCCCTGCTTAATACACGCAGTACTGACCTAGAAGAAAGTTTTTGAACAACTTAGATATTTCAAAAACGATTTGACTAAAGAGAGGAAATACTGATTAAGTCTCCCTTGCATGGCGTCAATATCGCTAAATTTTAACTCAATTTCTATTGATTATGGTACGAAAAAACATTGAAAATATTGAACATTGTTGAAAATCTCAGTTCTGACACGTGAAAGATATAATATTTATACAACATTAATATTAAAAATTACTACCTTAAAAATGCATTTGCTGTCACTTTTTAAATTTTCCGCTGTTACCGTACAACCACAGCCGCACTAACCACATTTATGTCATTTCAAATCAGTTTACTTATTTTTATTGTTTTATTCTACAACAATATCGGCATATTGTATCTGTTTGTCGCGGTGTTCGCATTTGTAGCCACAAATACATATAAACCATACATATATACATATATGGGAGATATGTATTTGTTTTGTAACTGTCTCTTTTACCTTTGTTAAAAAGCATTATAGTCACCGCAAACAGCATTGTTATTGCGGTTATATTCTCATTGTATGTTATTAGTGTTGTTATTGTATTGTCGTTAGTGTTGGGACTGCTGTCACTGCTGCTAACTTCTGCTGCAGCACAGCTTCCGTCCAAACAGAATTTCTCATTACGTTTGCTACTCTTTTGATACTTTGTTGACTGTCTCCTCGTTTGGTCGCACTCTTGTTTTTGTTTGTTTGTTGTTGTTGTTGTTAGAGTCGTCATCGTCGTAGCAATGTTCATGCGAAACTCAGCGGAGGTCGCATCATCAATTCGTTTAATTTGACAGGCGCAACCCTAAACATGTCAAAGCAGTCGGTTGCATAGGCACCTACTACTACTTAAACACGAACATACGAACATCCGAACATCCGAACATACGACTTTCGACGACTACCTTTTCGACTCTCCGACTGTTTGATGTTTTAGCTTTCTGCGTTTTATTCCTTTTTTCTTATTTTTCATGGTTATTTTTTTACTCTTGTTTTGTGGCCTAACCTTTTATTTTGGTCGATTGTTTTAGTAGGCCAATGCAATTTTCAAATGTTTGATGTCAGGACTTTGAGGTCGATTATAAAGAAACGTGGTGGCGGGCGTAATTGGCAGTAAAAATTGAATTGGTAAAACAAAGGTTGTTTTTCAAAATAAATATTAAAAAACTAAATATATAAATTTATATATATATATATATGTATGTGCAATATTTTTTTTATATAAAACAATGGCTTGAAAAACAAGGAAATAATTTTTAGCTTTTTTAATATTTATTTCGGAAAACATCCTTTGTGTTACGAATTTAATTTATATATATTACATATATGTCTTTTTTGTTTTATTACTCAAAATTTTATTACTATTAAGTGAAAAATATTTGCCCTCATCCTTACCTGATTTCACTGAGCAATGTATATGCGCTCGACTTTCATAGTAGACCCAATCGAAACCCGCCTCCACGGCCAAACGTGCTAGCATACCATATTTACTGGTATCCCGATCGGATGTTGTTATATCGACCGCACGGCCCTCGTAATGTAACGAGTCGGCGTGATGTTGATTATCCTCATCCCAACTCTCGATGACACGCAAACGTACGCGCGGCCATTGATTCATCACAGAAACAGCCAAAATGTTAAGTTTTTCTTTGCAGCGCTGGAATGAAAAAAAAGTAAAAAAAATGATAATGATTGGAATTTTACTAAATGTAAGAAAATGCAAACTAAAATAAAATAAAATAAAATAAAATAAAATAAAATAACTTAAAATAAAATAAAATAATATAAAATAAAATAAAATAAATAACATAAAATAAAATAAAGTAAAATGAAATAAGATAAAATAAAAAAATGAATTAAGAAATAAAATAAAATAAAGTGAAATAAAATAAATAATAGACTACAAAATTGCTATTTACTATATGTTATAAAATAATATATAAAAATATAATAACAAATTAACAAATATACAAACTAAAATAGACATATAAAAAATTAAATATATTAAGTGAGAATTTCGCTCCACGTTGAGTCATTGCTTAAAACCAAACTGAAAATTATAAATAAAAAAATGAAGAAATCTTGTTAGTTATTTGAATAAATTTCGGCATGAACACAAAGTAACAATAACAATTCTCACTCAACTGTACATATATGTATTTAAAAAGAATGTTGCAGTTGTCTTTATTAGTGCTTTTGTAACTCGCTATACATCTAACGATTTGAATACACAAAACCATTAGATAGTTATAATGGAATTTACCAAACTTATTTTGAACCTGTTGCGCTATGCAAACATTAAGCCATTTATAAATGTACACATACATATCTATACATACAATATTTATATAGGTAATGGCATTTAGGCAGCAGATACAAAGTAAAGAAAAAAATCGATGTAGTTTTGTCTACTCGCAGCCTCTCTTGTTAATTTAACAATGGACCAAAATAAATAAATAGAAACATAGAAGAAGTTGTATTAAAAATCAATTTTCTTACATTTATTTCCATTGGCAGTTACATACTCACAAATACAATGTATTTACCAAAGAAAAAAAGTGAATGATATTTGCTTAAAAACGCACACCAACAACAACGAATGGATTGCGAAAGGTCGAAATACAAATATTGATTTTCGCTGAGGTGTAGAAAGTGTACGTTCATTCATGTGTTTATATATATATAAATATACATATGTGGAGATATATGTGTATTTATATGGTAAATCTCATAGAATATATGCACGCCAACTATTTGTAATTATGGTGGGTGCATTGTAGGTTTGTTCTTCAACCAATCTACCATTCATTTGAAATGCAATCGCCTATACTCATATATATACATATTATATATATCTACATATGTACATGTATATTAATATAGTTGTAGGTAGATGCATAATACAACACTTGTGGCACGAATGATTAGGTAAATAGTATGCCCAATATTTACCTGTGAGCCTGCATTATTTTCTTACCAACCAGGGTGGGGTTTAAAAAGGATTCAAAGCCACTTGCCGCTTGCCGCACACGGTCAATATACGTATGTTTTTTCATTATTTGTTTATATTTTTTATTTAACTACTTTTATTTGCATTTCAATTGCAGGCGTTTTGTTAAAAAAAATTGTATTTTGAAGTAGAGAAAAAAATTCGAAAATTAAAAAAAAATTTAGAAAAAAGAAAAACTTGTGCATGAGTATGCCACTGGTTTAATGCGGATTGTTGGCAAGGCTGTTTAAGAATTTCTAAAATCCTCTAAACATCCTCCTCATCAGCTGCAACAGCTTCAATTGCCCATCGAGAATCAACCACAAAATCAATTATGAACGGCTGTGCAGCACAACAGCAGTTGCCGGGGCCAAGGTATGTGTTTCATTTACATATATTTATACATACAAACATTTGTACAAATTCACACTGCATGCGTTTGCAAACAATTCGCCAAGAATATTTGTGGTCACCATGTTATGCACTGCTGTGCGCTGCTGTTTTGCGCTCCACTCTACGCTGCTCTGCTCTGCTCAGTTGTGTGGCGGCAAGTGAGCGTCGAAAATTGATTTTTTGTACCTTGTTGGTTTGATTTTCTAAAGGATTTCACAGTTTTGAAAAAGTAAAACCAAAAAAAAAACGCTGTCACACATGCATTTGCTCTGTTTACAACACCCATGTTGACGCACATTTGACTCATACCCCTATGCATGTGTGTATGTTTGTGTGTTTATAGTGTTCAATTTAACTAGCTGCTGAGCGTAAATCCATGCATACATTTGCACATACAATTGCTATTATTTGTTGTTTTTGCAGAATGTGTTTGTCGCTTGTGTAATTTTTTTTTTTTTTTTTGAAAAACTTCAAATGTAAAACCAAACCAATTATTTATTGTAGGCGTGGCGAATTGTCGTTATTTATGTGGTTTTAATGTGCCATACAAAGTGTGCAGAATTGATGTTGTCTTTATGTGTTTTGTGTTGTGTATAATTGTATGGTGTAGTATGTACAAAACACACAAATAAAACGGAATTTGCCTGCCAAGTTTGTCGCTTAAGTCTATTGTTTTGCTATGGAAAAAGTCTCTACGTATGTGTAATAGGCGCATAAAACCAGATGGGGTTAACTGTGTCGTGGAATTTCGATTGGGTGGGAAATTTAAGCTGCTTATTATGTATTTTTATTGGAAAATAAGTGAGTACCCAGAATTTTATAGTAATTTAAGCAGTTATTGATCATAATTTCTTTATTGGCAAACTTTTGAGGGCCGTCAAGGTTTGAGATTTTTAAATTCTTCAATATTGAATTTCATTGTATATTATTTTATTTATTAATTTATTTTGAATTATAAATTTGTATCCGTAAAAATTACTCAGAAATAGTTTATATGTTTATACAACAATTTTAAGATTTCCTGAATTATTATTTACAATTTATTTTGAAAATATTTCCTAATAAACATACATTTTATTTACAAAGCTTAATACAACAAGTAAAAACATTCTGCTTAATTTATTTTATTCTATTTTTTTTTAATTAATACTTATTCTTATTTTGTAAATATTTAATGGGCTTAATAAATATGAAACCTTTTGAATTTTTACTTAATGAAACAAATTTTATATACAAAGATCACGATAATAACGTTTTGTTGAATTTTATTATTTTTTAATTTTTTTCCTAATTATATTTTAACTTTTTTTGTATATTGCAACATAAAGAATGGACTTAAACAATATAATTAAACAATAATATTTGGTTGAATATAGAAACGATTATAGTTATTATTATTATTATTATGACTTAATAGTTATCAATGTTATTTTTGCTATTAACTTAATTTCTCTTTTAATATTTAATATCTTTAAAATTAAAAATATATAATAATATATTTAATAACTGCAAATTTTTGAAATATTGGATACAACAGAATAATTTAATTTGTTTTATTTTAGATTGCAAGAATTTGGATTTGTATATTTAATAAATTAATAAGTTCTCTATAATAATTAATTATTAAAGAAGAGAAAGCTGAGCTGTCTTTGGCTATGCCGAAGTCTTTATACCTTTCATGGACACATCAAATTTATGGTATGGTTATTAAATCTTAATTCTCATTTCTGAAAATTTAGCAGGAGACGGCTAGTTAGTTCGTCGTTTTAATCCAATGGGTAAACAAATTGCTTGAACTTATAGTAAGGATCGTCAAGGTTTGCTTTACTTAAGGCTGATTTTTATTATTAAAAATGTTGTTAAGCCGTACTCAAAAGCTTCAAAGTATAATAATAAAATACTGAAGAAAGCTTGACCAAATAAAAATTAATGAAATATTTTAATTAAGCTAAATTATTTTTAGGACATTTAATAAGAGCTTGAAAATATTTTTAGTAAATAAAATATTTAAAATCGCAACTTAAATAGTTATGGAATTTATATCTTATTTATCAAGGAAAAATTTAAAAGTTGATACTAAAATTAATAATATGTAAAATGTTTTATTTGAAAAAATGTGTGAGTAAAAACTTTTTAAATAAATATTCATAAAAAATGTTTCAAAAACTTAAAAACCAGCCATTTTAAGGTTACAAGTTGACTAATTTATATGCCTTTTTATTTATTTTTTGGTATGCTCAGGCAAAATTTTCCCGAATACTAAACGGAATGGATTTTCCATTACTCCAACCAGTGCCAGTTCACATTAATTTTGAATCCATTTACATGAAAGCATTCAATTGTATATACCAAAATTATTCCATATATGTACTAAATAGTATGCAAGTGTTTATTTCTAATTTGAAATACCAACAAATGCATATGGCACATACTTATGCAAATATGTATGTACGAGTACATACCCCAGCCATACGATATTGGTACATACCATTATTGGTTATTATTTTTCCACAAGTCTAGCGCCGAATGACGCTTAAGAGATCATTTATGTATGTACATTATTAAAAGGCTTAACCATTCAAGTGACCAACGATGTGCAGACGCCTTGACACTTAAGACAAAGCCAAGCAAAGTGCAAACAAATGTAGGTATAACTGCATATTCAATGCAGCAACAAGCAGGAAGGCAACGACAAGCACTTAAGACCGCGCTCAACATGCCAACAAGTGATGCTTAAAAGCATCGCGACGACACTCGAAAACGACACGGCTTGAATGTGACGAGATGCCATAAGCACGCATTCGCTTTTGTAAGCATACACATTTGTATGTATGCTAATGTGTGTGTGTATGTAGTCATTGATTTGTGATATTCAACCAACTGCTAATGAGTACAAAAGCATATCACCGAACAAAGTGAAAATATTATTAATAAATGCAACACATGCTGCTCTGCTGCGTTGATTCTCGATAGTCGGTCGAAAGGTTTAAGCGCATTTACAAAGCACACACACACACATATATATAAATATAAATATATATACACACACGCGAACACATAGGTTTGCACCTGTTGGCCGTGTGTGATTGCGGGCTCGCTAAACGCTTGTAGATGGACATTCATGGTGGCAAATACTCGTGCCGTACATACATACATATGTGTTGAAATATGCTTTTGTCTTAACATTTGCTTGTTGTTGAATTTCAATATTTGCTCAACTAGGCATACATATATACATGCCATAGGTAGGTATATCCATGCGTGTACGCTCAACA